CATGTGAATATGACTGAAAATTTTCATTTTTTCTGAAAAGGTGGTGTCTATTTACTTGTGACCACGCTGTGTATATTATTGATTCTTACACTCGAGGATCTTCTACAACTTTTGAGAATAGGTAGGAGTACGGCAATATATATTTAACAGTATAAATTATGTACATTTCTAAATATGAATTTAATTTAAGCAAACATCTATTTTAAAACATACATATATATATATATATAATAAATCTGGCACAGAGGAGTGATACTGGTTCTGAGAAATTCAACTCACATCCCCGTATGGCACAGTTACAAATGGGGAATTCATTGATAGATTGGGTGTTTATTTTTAGTACCTTAAATGCTTCTCTACTAAATTTAAAGGTACATATTAGTAACATAAATGCTACACATTCTTTAAATCTTACATAAATTCACTTGGTGAGTAAAGACAACTAGAAACAACACACATATAATATGGATACTCAATTCTACACAATCACTTTAATTAAATGTTTTTTTTTTGTTGTTTTTTTGCCGATCAAAAATCAAGTATAATATCTAAAGTTTTATGAACCGTGATGTTTGTTGTTGTGGTTGTTTCCAAAGTAATGTATTAATGGGTTTTCCATAAATATAAACAGGTTTCAAAATAAGTTTAAAGATATTGAAAGAAAAGAAATTAGTCTTTATAATGACGGTGTAATTCGTTGTGGTGAAGAGTCAAAGCCATCAAAGAGGGAGTTCTGTTACTAAAAGTAACACTAAGCGTTAGAAAACCACAGTGATTTCTATAACATTTACGTAAATTAGTCAGTGCACTGAAATTGAAAACTAGTTAACGTGAGACTACTTGGTTCATCGTGGTTATAACTTGTATGACTGAGAAATGTGATTACTTAAGTTCCCTACTGAATCTATTTGGGTTTGAAACTTGAAAATTTATTTGTTTCAGTAAAACTATTAGTATTAGTACTACTTGTACTATCTTTTTATTAACATGAGCACTTTCAGAGGGAAAGTTGCAGAGTACAAGTTAATTGCTATTGATAACTTTGAATCGAAGAATTATGATTCTACGGTTTATTTTTTGTCTCACTGCCATAAAGGTAGGTCCTAAACTGGCTCCAATGTCTAAGTTAGGGATTTCTTTTTTTGGGGGTCAAGACGTTAACCCAGCACTTAACCGTTAACGTTATATCTTATTCTTAGGAATGTGTATTGTATTATTGTATATATATGTAATATATAACGTGCTGGTAAGTTTCAAAACATGTTATTGCATTGGAAAGAAAAAGAAGTGAAGAATTATTCCCCCCACACGAACTCAAACGTAGAAACTGTAATGCATATTCCTAATCACTCAGGCTGTCCATAGGTTTGGGCATTGGTTTTCATACCATGTGTCAGACTGATATAAATGTGAGAAATAACCTGATGTTGTACCTGATGATGACAAAACCTTGTTGAAACGTTGTACATTTGCTGTTATGTTAAACTTATATTAAAATGTTTCTTCATTACCCATTCAAGCCGTCTCCAAGCATTAAATGTCACATATGTAAATTTCAGGGTATGTTTGAAAGAAAATTTTTTTAAGTTTTTTCTGGCATTATTGGGTATCAAAGCCTTAATCCCAAATTTAGAGGCAACCACCTTAACCACCAGGCTATGCCAGCTGAAAGAATTCTAATCTAACAGATCTAAAAGTCAAACCTATTCATTGGTTAAGAGTGTAGCCCAAGATTTGGCATTGAATGCTGGCAACAGTAGCCTATTTCTGGTCAACAGCTCAAAATTGGGAATGGCAACAGGTATCTTTAGAAGCTTTGCCATAATTCATGTAAACTTTTTTTTCATACAGCTTCAGACACATAACAAGTGAACTCTCACAACACATTAGCTGGTACTATTTCAGCTGGTGGGACATAATACATATGTTCTGGCACACAGCTTATGACACTGATGGTCTTACCTAGTGGTCATTGGATAAGTAACTAGCCAAAGTGGTGTCTGTTGTTTGTATTTACCTTGTTTGGACTTAAAAATAGCTTAGCTTTAACTTGTTATGGTGCTTGCTTATTGTATGCTATATATATAATCAATGTTACTTTATTTGGGGCATGTGTACTCCTGAGCCATAAATCTATATAAATACAATAGTACTGTCTGTTGTATTTTCATGTAACTACCTTGCAGGGTGTGGATGGATCTTCACCAAAATTGGTATGGAGGTTCATTAGGTCAATGGGGAGATGCAAACAAATTTTCAGTTTTGCATTTTTTATGGCTGTTCTGGCATTTTTTACCACTACATCACCTCTTGTAGATGTATGTCATTATATAAAAGACTGTTTGGTTTAAATATTAGTGATTAATTTATATTTGTGAGTGAATACTTTATTATTTTCAAGTTTTTTTATAATAAGAGTTAAAAGCAGACAATTGTAGAAGGTTTTGTTAATAACTAATTTGTGTCGAGAATAAAAAAATGTTGCCAGACGACTGTGTAATAAAAATATAAATAGCGTGAGACAGACAGTTGCAGACCAACAACAATAGACAGATAATAGCAAAGGAGAATATAGCTGTGTGAAGTTAAATACCATAGATGTGATAGGCATAACATTTAATATGTTACTGTGAAACTTACAGTATAAAAAAAGATAAGAAGGATAATTTTATTTCGCCAAAGTGTGGTTCTAAAGTAATTGAGCCAGCCTGGGTAAACTTTGACAAAAGGAACAGAGGATCTTCAGAAGAAAGAAGACCAAATAAATTAAGGTAACTTGTGCCACAACTGTAAGTGAATCACACACAGAATACTAGTATGATAGTAATATAGAGAAGATAGTTCGACCTGTCAACTGAAATTCTAAAGTAATTGAATAGGCCTAAGTGAGCTTTTGACCCCAAAACCTGCACTCCATTCATAGAAAGTGATGCTTTGAATTTGGTGGGACATCAAAGGAGGAATTCATTTCAAACTCATCAATCCACAGGAAACTGTCAATGCAGAGATCTATAGTCAGCAACTGGAACATTTAAATCAGAAATGCCCTTCATTCATCAATCGTAAAGGTGTTCTTCCTCTCCATGACAGTGCATGTCCACATGTGGCACATTTTATGCAACACAAGATTATGGAGTTGGGTTGGGAAGTTCTCCCCCTCCCACCATATTCTCCTGATATGGCACCATCTGATTACCATCTTTTTCGATCGCTGCAACACCATCTTAATGGGAAAACGTTTGCAAATGTG